ATATTTTACATGTTTATATTGTATACCAAAGTTATTTTATAAATTTATATCTAATATCATTAATAAATAAATAAAATTATTAATAATAAATTATTTTTTATAGTGTATAAATAAATAAATTTTTATTATTAACTAATAAATAATTATCATTCACATAAAAATAATTAATTAAAAATCTATTTAAAAATAAGTTTTATAGACATTATGTATGCTACGAACTTATACAATCATCAACTCTTTTCTTTATCCCAAATTCCTTGGAAACACTTTCTTGCTATTATTTATATAATCTTTTGAGTTTGCTTGCTTAAAGAGCTCATATGGAGGGGTCATGTGAAAATGTTTCATGATAATTTGAGGGCAAAAATGTTTATAATAAAAAATGTATTATAATATTAATCAAATGTTTTAAATATATATTAATTAATTTATTTAAAAAATTAAAAAAATATTTAAAATTTGTGGGATTTGAACCGGCCAGTGCAAAATAATCGGGCCGATTTGCCGACCAGTTCAGTCCAGTTTGATGCATAAGTGGTTTTAAGACTGAACCGGACCGATCTTATGACCAGTTCACGGTTGAACCGTAAAATTTGTGGGATTTGAACCGGCCAGTGCAAAATAATCGGGCCGATTTGCCGACCAGTTCAGTCCAGTTTGATGCATAAGTGGTTTTAAGACTGAACCGGACCGATCTTATGACCAGTTCACGGTTGAACCGATCAAACCGCCGGTTCAAAATAACCAGGTCAATTCGCCGATTGAATTGGCAGTTATGACCAATTCAATTCGGTTCGATGCATAAACGGTTTTAAGACTAAACCGGACCGGTCTTGTGACCGGTTCACAGTTGAATCGATCGAATTGGCCGGTCCGAACCGGTTTTTAAAGCATTGGAAAAAAGTATTAAAAAAAATTATATCAAATTCTTCACAAATTAAATCAAAATTTGATGTAAACATCATTTGCATGACAAAATTATAAATTCCATTAAAAATTACTTTACAATCTTCTTAATACATACCATTTAAAAAAATTAAGAGCATTAATAAATTAAATTCATCCTAAACTAAATTGATCTTACATAACTAAAATTTAATTCAATTAATCTAATTAGATGTGAAAAATAATTTCGGCTATTCAATTTTTTGAATTTTACAATAAAAAACAAAATTGATTTAGAAAATTTATAAATCAAATAATTTAAATAAGCTAAACGCACAGCCACCTCTATTCAAATATGTAACCTCCACTTTAGGAATTAGGGAGCATAGTGATTGAGATCTTTTTCACTACAGAAAGGTTTAATACTCTTGAATTGGAAAAACTATTCTATTCGGAGGTCAATCAGAATGCGCGACATCATCCAATGCACCGTACATTGAGTGACGTGACACATCCGGATTAACCTCCGGGCGCATCCGAACATCACACGTAATAATTTTTTCCCTAAATTGGCTATCCACCCAGCATAGTAAATAAATGAAAAATATATGTGGCTTCTACCTTCTGTTAAATGGACAGAAATTCAAAAACCATAAAGCAAACAACCAGCACAAAATTTGTCGAACAATTAGGCCTATGTTACAAAAAAATTGTTGTAGACCTACAAAGATTTGATAAAAAAAGTATTACAAAGGATACTTTTTTTATATATTTAAATGAGAATTTGACTCTAAGGTTTCATTTGGAATAGTTTTTTTACTTCTTTCTAAAGTAACATTTTAATACAAAGATTTCTTGAAATATGATTTTTTATGCTAGAAAGTTGCTTTAGAAAACAGTATGAAAATTGTCCCAAATGAAACCTTAATATAACATATTAAGCAACCAGAATGCTCCACCTCAGAGTTGCCTAGCTGCAGTACTGAGCACAGGGGTGACATGGTGCATTATGGTTGGTCTCCGAACGGTGTTCGGCGTCCATACAAAATAATTATCTCATTTGGGATAATCTTCTTACTTTCTAAAGCAAAATTCTAATACATATTTCTTGAACTAGAAATTTTTATGCTAGAAAGTTGCTTTAGAAAGCAGTATGAAAGTTGTCCCAAATGAAATCTTAATTGGACATAACAACAACATCAAGCCTTTATCCCACTACGTGGGGTCGGCAAAAGTATAATTGGACATAATGGAGAAAAAAATATTCATGAAACCGACCCCACATAGTAGGATCAAGGCTTGATACAGTATTGTTGTTGTTGTAGAACAAACATCATGAGCACACGCTTTTATAGTTATTAAATGCATCAAGGCTTGCAGAAATTCTTCACCATTGGAAAAGTCAAGTACAGCTGCTACTTGCGACATCAAAATCAATACAATTGAGTAAATAAAGCGTAACCTAACAGCTTCTAAATGGAGAACCAGAAATTCTGGCAGGTTTAAAAGTGAGCACATCACAATGAAAGATGGTTGCAACACAACACAGCAACACATAAAATAGAGAGATGATGAACAGAAGACACCAAAGCCTAAGTCAAACCTGTCTGTCTGCACTTATCTTTCATAACTTGCATCCTCCAGGGCTTTATTTTGATGAAAAATTATTTCAAATTTCACCAATTGTAACGGTCACAACAGCTGGAAACATGGAGATTGGCAGAGAAGATAGAAAAATCATCATTAGTAAAAAAAAAAAAAAAAAGAGAAAGGGCATTGAAGGAAAAAAAACTAAAGCAAAAAATTCATGGAAAAAATAAAGTATGTACGCAACTCACTTTGATTTGTTAGTTGGAAGTTTTGACAATCAATTAAGAGATCTTAAGTTCGAAGGTCGTGTATTTGATGTGTGTAAGAGTTTGTCTTAATGACTCAGAAGTCCAAAAATAAAAGAATTATGCGAGAGATATAAAATGAATTCACAAGAATGTTAGTGTTCCTAGGCCAAGAGATTATTATTGGCTTATGGCTCAGTATGTTACTAAATATAAACATTTTCAAAATGAGAACTTAAGCTTGGGCTTCTCTCTAGAATATCAAAGTTTAATTAAAAATTAGATATCACAGCGGACAACAAATTAATGATTTCAGTGTTTAATGTTAGAACATCTGGACATTGAAGATTGATTTCAACTTTCCACCCATTGATTAGCTAGCTTTCATCAAGCTTTTGGAAACATGAACCAACGGTTTGTAGTACAGGAGAAGTCAATAACATAGAGTTCTCACAATCATCAAGCTAGTGATACATTTATCTATTAAGGAAACCAAATCCCCGCTCAAAGACTCCTCAGTTGCTTTTATCCCTAATCTAGGGGCAAAAGAAACAGGCTCCAACTGCCACAGTTCTTCCTAGAAGGGATCATGAGATACACTAGAACTTTGCTTGGAGAGATTAAGGCTATTGTTGGAGATATCCCTCTTCTGAGAATTTTGAGCAGTAAGACTAGGCTTTGGGACATCGGACGTTAGAATGGGACACCTCTTTTTATGCTCATAACCTGTAGAAGGTGAAGCGGGGAGTTGGGCTTTCTGTTTGGGCTTTCTCCTTCTAGTGACAATGTCCCAAGTTCCCAATTGATCCACATAAGAAGATAGTCATACATTTATCTATAGTTTGCAGTCACGGAGTAAAAAACAAAACAGTTATATATCATCACCATCAATCTTTATCCTAACCATATAAGATCATATTTATGAATCCTAACAATCCATTTATTCCTGTCGAGTGAGTACTGCATAAATCATTGACTATAAATTTTATTGTACAACTTCTAACAAAGTTATGTTTGATCTACTCATTTTGTTTCATAATCTTACACATTTTGGGTTCTGAAAATTCAGTCCCGGCCTCCGCCCGCTGATGCTTTTTCTTTCTTCGGAGGGAGTTTTAACGGAATTAGTTCTGGGGTAAATTTTGAAAAGGCAGATGGGTTTGTAGATAAGACACTACCCAAAGATTTCACCCTCATTTTGTGAGGACTTTATGATCTGAATTCTGGTTTCCTATAGGCGCAAGCCCCTATAGTTAATTACCCCTCCCGGTCACGAGAGAGAATTTCGATTAAGGCTAGTGGTCAATTAGATACATGTAGAGTACATGTTATCTAACATATAGTAGCAGCATGAGCATAGGTATTTGGAAATGGCTGAGGATTTGAAGATTTGATATTTAAAATTGAAAATTTCACCATCATGCATTTAAAGCAGATGGTGGGGGGAATGGAGGATAGACCCGACCAATATCCCATGGTTCAGTCATCCCGGGCCATCGTGGTCCCTGGTCTACTTAGTCAGAGAAGGTAGTCAACCCAACCTGACAGAAGGATCCTTGTCCGCAGCCATGGGTTGCTTCGTCCAAGGGGACCTTGTAGACCTGGGGTGGGTACTTGTCTAAGGTGACAAATTTGAATCCACCTTAACTAATAGAAAGCTTTGTGCTCTATCGATCATATCCTATTGATTCATATATCAAGGATTTGATGTCAATAAAGAACATATTGGCTTTGGCCATAATCGGTATTTCATGAGCCATTTGGTGGCAAAACCACTTGGTTCAAAGGGCCCCGGGTCATAACCGTTTATCCTTCGGTGCCATTTGGCGACAAAACCGCCGGTTAGAGGACACGTACCACGTTTTTACTGGCAGGAGATTGTTTGAGAATGGATCATAGCGATATTTTTGTCTAGGCATTAGCTCTAATTGAGCTTAAGTAAATTTTAATTTGTCCATCCCGACAAACTATTGCGGAGGGTGGATGGATTTTTGCTTTAAGTTATTTGAATGGTTGGATTCCGTTTTAAATATCCTGGACTTGGATGATTTTTGAATTTTTGTGGAATTTGAATTTTGGGTGGCATTTTAAAATGTTGGAATTAACCCCTCCGATTGAGATCTGCATTCAACACGTCCATCATCGGGGTGTATAGGGTCATTTCCATTTAAATCTTGAACCTTATCGACCCTATCAACTTGCCGATAGGGGATTGGGTTTTGTAGGTTGTATGCCTTTGTTAGTGAATTCTCTTTGTTATAGGCCTTGAAAGCCTAATAAAAATGTATTAAGACAAATATATTGGTCGCTGCAACCATATATTTGTTTGATGGTTCGAATTATGTCGACTCCTATTGATCTGCATAGGAGGATCGGGTTCGAACTTGAATTCACTTATTGATCCACACAGCATCCTTAGACGTCACATGTATACTAATAATAAGCTCGCAGGAGCCCATGCAGGTTTTATAATTGCACTTGTCCTTTTTGTGTACCTATGTGTATACAAACTATGGTGCATGTGCGGGGGGGTACTTTGAAAATATTTATAAACGTCTTCTGTCCGCTTGCATGAATGTTGCGGATCCGGTGGCATGATGTAGCAGCTTCTGAATAGAGTTGTCCGCTGCTTTATACAGGTAGACTTTCGTGCACTACTTGTTGCTTTTTATAAATGAGTTATAGTGCACTAACGAATCTCCTGCTTCTGGTTATAATGCTTGCCTCTATTACAATTCTTTTATTTCTTTGCTCCGGGTCTTTGATCTTTGCTGGGGAATGGCATATTGCATGTTCATAAAGGATCCCTTGCCTTTGTCGTATATCTATTACTATCGCTTATAGGTGAACTGTGTTGTCGTAGTTCTCTTGCATTGCTAGGTATCAGGTCCCTTACAAGTACTTGTAGGTATTTGCATTTATCACCGTATGTTGTATGCATGACGAGTACTTATGTCCACAAGGGCTCATTATACTTACGATGTACCCATTGTTGTTATCCACAAGTCTCTCGTATTTATTTACAGGGATCCATTGTATTCACTATGACCTTTTGGAAGTGTTCGTAGAAGAGCCATTGTTACCTACATCATATCCATCTTTCATCAATCTTAAACTTGTTTGCAAGGACGGATCTTCCATTATCAATTGACAGTGTTGCCATCTCAATCTGCAGGCACTTGTTTGTATTGGATATTATATTAACACATATGGTAGTCGCATATGAACTATGCAACTTGTTACTGTTGTTTGCAAGTATAGTTCATTTGACCTTGTAGGGATTGTCGTAGGAGTCAATTACACCTGCATTATGTCTACCTTTGTCATTCACAACTTATTTGTGATGACGGGTCCTCCGCTATTGATCTCCAGTATAGCCTTCTTCAATCAACATGCATTGTTGCTTATGTTGGAGATCCCAATAGTGCATATAGGAGAAATTTGCAACTCCTTGTCTTCAGAGATGATTTGCCATACACATGATGAGTTTGATATCACATCTCTCAACATTTCATTTCAAATGAGATTATCATTACATAAGATAAATTCCATGTTAAACCACAAACATCTTTATATGCTAGCATGAGGCTTGAATGATTTCTTCCAATTATTATTTGCATTGAAATGAAAATTCTTTTAACATCTTGAAATTCATTATTGATCATTTATTTCAAATCAAGCTTCAAGTTAATGTCATTTGGTCCAAATCAAGTCCAAGTGTTCAATCCGATTCGAGTTCATAAGTCCCATGTGATCCAACTCAAGTCTTACACAAGTCCTTTAAGTTCATTCGAATCCACATTAAGTTCTTCATAGCTCATTTTCACTTGCCATCGGTTTAAATTTAATATGAGTTCAAATTTGAGTTCATGTTCTTTATGTTTGAATAAGTCAAAGTCCCATTTTTTATTCAAGTCATTGTCTTATTTTAGACAAAATTTCGGCAACTTCCCAGCGTCTCATCCGTTTTGGGGAAAAAATCAAGAGGCAGTCTACCCGCCACGTCAAGAAAGACGTGCACGGTTAGTGCGGCCGTAGTTTTTGTCATCCACCACGCCAAGAAAGGCGTGCATGGGTCTTTAAAAGTATTTTTTTGAAAAAGTAGTTCTTTTCCTGCATATAGGTACATATATTTTTTACACCGCTATGCTAAGAAAAGCACACACAAGGATTGCCCGCCTCGCCGTAGGCTTTGCACCAAGTTTTCTCCCGCCACGCTAAGAAAAGCGTGCACAGGGGGTCCCTCGGCGCGTTGCAAACGCCGAAAATAGGACTTTTGGAGGGGATCACCTGCCTCGCCATAAGCGCCGCCACCGTGCTAAGAAAAGCGTGCATGAGTGGTTCGCCGCGTTTCAAGCGCCGAGATGGATTTTCCCAACTTTAGTATGTTATACCTTGGCGACCGGCGAGGTGGTGCTAGCACGAGATCGAGGCAAGAGCATTTTTCTTTCTTTTTCTCTTTTTTGTATCTTCTTTTTTTTTGCTTTCCTTCTCACACTCACACACACACAGACACACACACATATATGTATGTATGTATGTATGTATGTA